CAAAACAGCACTACAGTACACCGTTTTCAGAAGAGCCGTGCTCCGTAGCCAAATGTCTGTTTAATAGATTCGAAGTAGTATCTCTTCCAGCCCTCTTTATATATTAAATGATATAAAAGGACAAAGGCTGCAGCCAGTGAATTTCCACTGTTTATTGTTATTATTGTCTCTCTTAATGTATCAGTGTTTGTTTTCCCACCAACAATGATTTTTACTATTTCCTAATTTGCATCTCGTTTAGGATTTCAAATACTTGCATGACTTCAGTGACGTCATATGAAACTGATAACTCAGAGTCCAAGGCTCCCACAGAGGTAGGTAACCCTCTAACTGAACACGAAAGGAGACAAAGAAATTGCATCATCTACAACAGGGAAAACCAGGTGGGATACAGGAACAGTTACTTCATAAATATTTACTGACTGCAAGAACTCCCCAGATTGAATAACGCTTTATTTTCCTGTGAGGATTTAAAGCACAGAAGCTGCTTAGGGCGTGTTTTGGTTTGTCCATCTATTCTCTTCCGCTTATCCTTGTCAGGGTCACGGGAGGGATGGAGCCTATCCCAGCTACCATAGGGTGAGAGCCAGGGTACACCCTGGACAGGTCACCAGTCTATTGCAGGGTTGTGAGGATTTGAGGTACAGAAGCTACTAAGGGTGTGTTTTGGTTTGTTTAACATATCTATATATATATTTTTTTTTTTCAATCAGCAAACAATCTTATCTTTGGGTGGTGTCGAAATACTTGGGCTTACTGAATGAGACAGGCAGATAGCATGCATGAGCACATACTCAGCACAAGCTGAGGCTAGATCCATCGCACCAGGCAAGACCCAAGGTGCAGGCTGTGTAAAGATGTCTGTCAGACTATCCAACACATAACAGCAGGGTGCAAGATGCCCGCAGGCAGGACATAGATGGAACGCCATAACCAGGTACAGAATACAGAAAAATGTGTGCTGAGTATGACCTGAAAGTCCCGAGGTCAAAATGGGAGATACCTGAGCTAAGATCCTGTGGGACTTCCAGATATAGACGGACAAAATGGTGATGGCTAACCAACTGCACATAGTAAGTGGTGGACAAGCAGGGGAAGACGGCAGTAGTGATAGACCTAGCGATACCGAATGACAGCAACATCAGGAAGAAGGAACACGAAAAGCTTGAGAAATACCAAGGGCTCAGAGAAGAGCTCAAGAAGATGTGGCGGGTGAAGGTAACAGGGGTCCCAGTGGTAATCGGAGCACTAGGTGGTGACTCCCAAGCTAGGCGGAGTGGCTCCAGCAGATCCCAGGAACAACATCTGAGATCTCTATCCAGAAGAGCGCAGTCTTAGGAACAGCTAAGATACTGCGCAGTTTTAGTGAAAGTAGAGTGTTATGCTTGAGTCATAAAGCATTATATTACAAAGATTGTTGAAATCATGGAGAGTTTTGTAACACTATTTATGTTATAACATAAACGGCATATACACACACATAGACAGTAAAGTAAAATAGACAAACATGGCAAAATAAATGTTAAAGTAGCTGTGAAATACAGTAACCTGTTTAATGAAAAAAGTAAACAAGACAAAGAATTAGATTTTTTTTGCTTTGTTCTGTTTTGTGCTCAGCAGTAGGCATATATGTTTTTACATGATATCCGTCTTTATTCTTTTTTGATAAACAAAAGAATAATAATCTAATCTTTACATAAAATAAAGTAAATGGGGCTTCTACAGTGGGGCAATCCAGAAAAGGTATGCTCTACAAGGTGTGTTTTATTTGTCTAATCCACTGTATTAGTCTGCCAGTAGTTGCCTGTAGGTGCTACATCTCACTGGAAAATGAAAATGAAGCAGCTAGATCTTTTTCATATTGTTTTTCATTCTGGTAAGGATAAGTAAAGTTCATTTCAGTTCAGAATTGTACTTAAAATTACAAAAACAAAATAAAACCGCTGCGTTCCACTCGAAGATGTGATTTCGCAGCTTTTTGCGGAACTCCTGAACGCACCAGTGTGCAGATGTGCGGATTTGGAGAAGTTTTAAAAACTCCTGAGAATGCCCTGACCGTGAAGGAGTCGTCGGTTCGCTCCGCACTGATTTTGTTTATTACAAATTAGATGTCCACGAGTGTCTGCGGCGTCTTCAAACCTCCGGTAGGTGAAACTGCTCAGTGAGACATCGACGGGACTTTCTGTCTGTGTACAAGCTTCTTGTTTATCATTTACAGTTAAATATACGCACAGTGGAAGCTAACCTGCGTTATTTTTCGTTTCCAGTGTTGACATTGTAGTTGGTCAGGTCCTGTAAGCTTACGGTTTATTATTGACTGAAATCCATTTCTTCAGTTTTGAGAAGCACTGCGAGTATATATTGCATGGCTGTATTTGTAATTGGTAGCGTGAAAACAATTCAGTCAGAATACTTGTGATTAATTCCTTAATCGCAACGCCTGGAGCAAATTAAAACTAAACAGTAACAGCAAATGTTTGTGAGTCAACCCTCGAAAAGTTCAACTTAAAAGCTGCAATAGGAAATGGGGAGCGGGCGTTCAATGAACCGTTAATTTTTTTCCAGATCCGTATTTTAGTTTCAACCCTTTTAGAGTAGCTTTGCGTGATTCACAGTTTAACCTCACTTTACTTTAGCCTTGGTGCTGCAGACCCTCAGTTCATCCTGTATCTGAAACGAGCTGTTTCAGCTCCTCTCCTGTTGAGCTTTCTTTCTTCTGATTGGCTGCCCTTCATGGTCATAAGATTTGAACAGCAGGTGGGTGGCTTCTGTTCACACAGCCAGAGCTAACATATTATATTACATATAACATATTATTTTTTAAAAACACTATCTAATATTGAGCACTGAGAACAGTCTTAAGCCTGAGCTTTTGATTCAGAGGATTCTACATATGCTGACCTCATCATTTGAAATAAATATGCTTAATAGAAGCATGCACCACTGTAACAGTATGTACATATGGCTGAAAATATTACTTTTCGTGTTTATTTAAAATTTATATATAGCTGAAATCAACAAGCACCATTTAT